GGGGGGGGGGGGGGGGTTCATACGAGGGTTAAAAGGTTAAACATACAAAATGACATATATACTCTATATAACCTTATTCAAACATGGGTTTGGATTAGATTGATTGAAGGGCACAATAGTTATTTTTATATAAATATATTATCATAATAATAATATATTTGTGTACATACTAAACATGAATATGAACGAGATTGAATGTTAAATCTCATTTTTGTAAAGAGAGATTTAAATAAGTTAATTTAAACCCTTCACAAAAAATCATGCAAACTACTCCCAAAGGACCGGCAGTAAATTGATGGCAAAAGCAATCAGGTGGACAAAAGAAAGAACAATTTTAAAGCTAAAATGCAGACTGTGGTATAAAGTGAATGGTGATGTGAACCATAATCTATATCGATGGATTAGATGACAAATAACCATTCTCTTTTGCAAAGTGAAAATTCTTAATTCACTCCTAAAGAAGTGAACCAATACTTGTCCAGAAAAAGAATAGAACAAATGGAATCAAAGAAAGAGGTTGAAGACTGACATATATTTAAATTTTCTTTTTCTTTTTTTTTTAATCCTTTTCTTGAAGGCGCTAGCACATGTTCCATGCAGGATCTTGTCCTCTTTGACTCCTTCTAAATTCTTCTATAATATTTATCGTCTTTTAGAGTCATTCTATTAACCCGGTTAGTTGATGTTGACTTACTTGGCATGAGTTAGAATGTCTTCTAGCTGGAGTTATGTATTTTTTTTTGATATCAACAACAACTAACATGCCATTCCACAGAAAATTGATTAACCTAGCTATCACTTTATTGGACATTTCATTATGATCCAAACATAATTACACCAAACTATCATTACTAATTGAGCTTTGACATTCCTTCATTTAACAGGGCACGTGACCGTATTCCTTAGCAAGAAAGTAGGAACAAGGAGGATTATACAAAACTCTGGTTCAAAGCATCAGGGGCACATAAGTCACCCATATAAGTCCTGGGTTTTTGGAACAACGATTAGGTTCATAACAATTTGTATTAGAGTTAGTCATCATGTTAAGCATGAGATCGAACGTAGTGTGAGCTATAACTCTTGTAGGTTGAGTCACAGAAAGAGCGATATAGGTTAGATTAGGATGACTTTGTATTATGTATTGTTATAATTTTATCTTATTGAATATTGATAAATGAGTGAATCTATTTTTTGAAAAAGTCTACCGTTGACCTCGTGTCGATAGAGTGAGCCGCGGGAGATGTTGGCTATGTAAGTGTGTATGATCTCATGTCGGTCAAGAATAAGATTGAATATTAGAAGAAGCGGAGCCAAATTATTCCCCCGTTCCCTCAAGTTCTAAAAATTATATGTAATACCCTTAAATTTATAGTTTCGTGATCATTTTGCTTACCCTCAAATTTTTAAAATTTTATTTTTTACCTTTAAAGTGTGATCTTAATTTTCATTTACCTTGGACTACTACATTGCACCAATAAACATTCAAATTTGACATTAGTCATCAAATTTTACTTTTGCATATCTATATAATAAATTAGATAGGTTTTTAAACTTATATGGTATATTTCCCCTCCCTCCACCAAAAAAAAAATTCATACACTCAAAACACACTTTCTCCCAAATTTTAAAAATCCAACACATATACTCGTAACACGAAGTTACACATACATACATACACTCTAACACACATATTCTAATGCATGTATAGTATCACAATTCAGTATACAGTAACTTAAATCACCAAATATTATTAGTATATATACATTTTGGACTATTTTGAATAATCATGACACAACGTGTACAAATCAATAATCAATTGGTCAAGTTAAATTACGGTCATAATACTTTAAACCTTAGGGTACACAAAGTCCGTTCTCTCTCTTTCTTGCTTTGTTTGACTTATCGCATTTTTTACAGACATGATGATATCTAGCTATACTTGAGCAATTATGTGATGAAATTAAGTTAAAATTATTTATTTTTTAATTAATTGGTTCAGTTTTTTGTATCTATTTAAGTTGACGAGTTTGAATTGCTTTTTTTAATTCTTTTGAGAAAATAAATAATAATGCAGTGCATTTTGATAGATATCCAAATTTAATTTGCAAAATATAATATAACCGATATGAATTCAAATTGTAGATACAAATAAGTATAATTAAAATATTTAATATTGTTCAAAAATTAAAATATAAATAATAAGATAAGTCAAAATTTTTAAATAATCTAAACTGTTCTTTGACTTTATTCGGTAGCAAAAGTATTTATTGTAATTAAAAAGTTAAATATAAATAGACATATCCTCTTTTTCGTTACCACCCCCCTCTATTGGACTATTATCAGATAATTACTTATTAATGTGGTAGAATATTTTTTTTTAAAAAAAAAAGTTAAATGTGAAATAGTCAACAAAAATGTTGAGAAATTCAAATTTGAATTAATTTTTTTTTGAAAAAGGTGGAAGTAATTATAAATATAGAATAATTTAATTAGAGGAGAATCTAGTATTTTTATTAATTAATTTAAAATTCGGAGAATTTAGATTCAAATAAAATCCGATCTATACCTTCGCACTGTGCTAAAGGAGAAAAACCCAGAGAAGTCTGGAACATGAGATAGTAAGTACCCATTAAGCTAATCTCTCTACGTGTCAAGCCACCTTCGACCTCACACGATGAATCATGAAGTTTCTCCTACCTCCTTTCACCGAACTTATAACATCCCCTCCCCAATCCATACACTCCACTCCTCTGCTCTGCAATCAACCCCACCGCCAAACCCTAACCCTAACCCTAGTGTTGCTCATTCTTGTCTCGGAAACTTTTGGTTGATTTGTATAAGTTTTGGAAAAGATGTATTTTCAACCGTATCGGAAAAATGACCTGGAATTGGGAAGTAGACCGCTTTACCCGACGATGTTGGAGAGTTCAGAACTCCGGTGGGCTTTCATTCGGAAGATTTATTCTATAGTGGCCATTCAATTGCTTCTCACCATTGCTGTGGGTGCCGTGGTCGTCTATGTCCGTCCCGTCGCCGAGTTCTTCGTCACTACCGGTGCCGGCTTAGCCCTCTACATCATTCTCGTCATCGCTCCATTTATGGGTATGTTGTCATAATCAATTTCGCCCATTTGTCTTTAGGACAGTTTTTTTTTGGCTATTATTTTATTTTTCGGTTTCTGTCATTTTTCTTAAGTTTTGGGGTTGATATTGTATTTTTTTTTCTGCAGTGTTGTTACCGTTGTACTACTATCACCAGTATTATCCGGTGAATTACCTTCTTCTTGGGATTTTCACGGCGTCTCTTGCTTTCGCGGTTGGATTGACTTGTGCTTTTACCAGTGGTATGCAGTCTAATATTTGTCTTTTGTTATTTTTTTTTTCATCCCCCGTAGAATTTTGTTATTTATTAGGTGGCACCTTAGTTATGTGCTCATTAGACTAATCGTTGTGCATTAAATAACAATTATTTTTATCTGTTTACAATATACATGTATTCGATTGTGCTTTTTCATGAAAAAAATAATGTGGCACAATTTATTCATTGAATGTGTAATGGGAGCCTATAAATTTAACAATTTACATAATTTCGTGTAATAAATTTGGTGCGTAAACTCCAACGATAATTCAAGTTGTAACAAACATAAAGTATAAACCCAGACGTTCTGTAGGACCAAGTTATGAAAAATTTGTCTCGATTAAAAAGGAGATTAGTCAAAGGATATATAAACTGTCATGGACACCTCTACCGCTAGAAAAAGAGTTCAAACTAGTTTATGCCATTTCTTGAATGCCATGTTTCTGTTTCTTTAACGTCCAACAAGAGAATTTAGAAACAACCAAAAATAAATGAATTTTGGGCATTTATGGGTGGTAAAATGTGGATTCAAATCCCATCCAATTTTATTTTTTTATCAATTTTTTTCATAGTAAAGTATCCACCATTAATGGGTGTGGGGCATCTCAATCCGTAAAATGCGACCACGAGGACATGTATGGCAAGATGAAACCGTACTAAGAGTTATTATAATTTATGTCGTGGGTCTTTGCCTATAGGTGTTCGTAACCATGGGGGAATATTCTTTTCTTCTGTCAATTGTAGTCTTTACATATGAATGGTGATCTCAAATATTTTGAGGAATTTTGTTCTTCACTAGAAGTTCATGTCTTTTTTGTTCAAGTTTGTGATACTTTTTTAACCTTCAGCATCTGTGTAAAATTTTATTGGCTACAGGCAAGGTTATCTTGGAATCTGTTATTCTTACAACTGTGGTAGTTATCAGTCTTACATTGTACACATTCTGGGCTGCAAGAAGAGGCTACGATTTCAACTTCCTAGGGCCCTTTTTGTTTGCTGCTATTCTTACCCTCATGCTCTTTGCCTTGTTTCAGGTAAAAGGATTTTCCCTTATTTGATTTTTCTTTCTTTTTATTTTACTCTGGCTTTTAAATCCGAAATGGGTCTGATCAATTTACTTATCTTTGTCGTGTCTCAGATTCTATTACCTATGGGTAGGATCTCGGTGACAATCTATGGGTGTTTGGCTTCGCTTGTATTCTGCGCGTTCATCATATATGACACCGATAATCTTATCAAGCGATACTCATACGACGATTACATTTGGGCTGCTGTGGCCCTGTATCTGGACATCATCAACCTCTTCCTTTCCTTGTTTACTATTTTCAGAGTTGCTGATACCTGAAAGGGTGACGCACTTGTTCATATTCTTTTTTCACTTCATTTCCTTCCCTACTTTTCGGAAATATTATGCAGTACATAAAAGTAGTTGTCTCTTCCAGTATCTAGCACGAGTTTAGACCAATACATTACTGCTAGAACTGTATGAAATCCTGAAATTGAAATGTAATGATTTTGCATATTCATTTCTCTCCAATGACTAAAGCTTTATACTATGGCTGATCGTGTCCGAACCAAAGCGAAATAAAGACCTTCATGACAAACTCATCTACGCATCAATAGACAGACAGAGATATGACCCTTTGCATCAAACTAGCTTAAGTCAATTGGTAGATAGCACCAACTGTTTTGTTTTAATTTCCATTCTTTGGATAGCCGACAATAGCAAGGAGCCTTGAAACACCCTGAGTCCACATCTCATATTCTCTCTGATTTTTGCACTCGAACTGCACAACCCCACGTAGTGTTGTCTTCAATCCGAAGTAACGACGCTGCTCTCCACCTTCAAACAAGTGCCTCCCTGGCCACGCCGGCATGTCCTTGCATAACTCCAACACCACATCTGCCATGAGAATAAACACTTGCTCTTAGACATTCAAATTACACAGCATTTGATACCATCGATTATTTAACTGGACCCTTAGAAGTAAATGGCAGAACTTACTCTTTTTCTTTTTGGTGATGGTCCCGGCGACATGTTTGCTCTTCATCTTCAACATAACCTGCAAATGTCACAGTGAATCTCGTATTGATTAAAGTAGGAGTATGATTCAGAACTTGCTGATAATATTCACACACGTTTGAGTATTATTTTGAATTCACCTGTCCTGTTCGATGTATATATACGGAGACGATTTTCCAGTGAAGATCACCTGTGTAGCATTTGAACAGTGTGAGAAAATGCTAGTCATTGAGACTAATTAGTACAAGACTACGTTCTTAATGCCATTGTTACCTGTCCGGGTGCGTTTGAGAAGCTCACTACCCCTGGCAAGGAGCTCTTGATTACAAACACCCAGAAAATTCTCGACGGGATAAATTTCCTCGTTATAGGAATTCGTGGTACGAACATTGTTACCGTTATGACCCACCCCTTTACTCAATCCTTTATCTACCGGTATCACTGCTGCAATATTCCACACTTCCTTCAATGCTCTACCCTTCAAAGTTGCCGCCCCACGTAAAGCTGCACATAATAGGGAAATCATCATTTTACTGAAGGGGGAATTGCAATCTGCACCCCGAATAATTTCAAAGGTTTTTATTTTGCATTTTTTAAGATTAAATATTTCCCGTGGTGCCTTTAATGTATGAAAACAATTATAATGCGATTATTCTATTAGTTTTCTATTAGTTTTTTTATCGGTGTCAATGAGTTGACATGTGATAAAAAAAAATAACGAAAGTTAATAGAATGATTACACTATAATATTTTTAATACATTTAAAGTGTAGAATGAAAAAGTACAAAAAAACCTTTTACTAAATCACTACTATTGTTTTTGGTATTACGATCGATGGTGTGTGAGTCAATTTCACACCTTCTAAGACAAATATTGTTTCCAGTTCAGTAAATAATTCAGAGATTTGCTAAGGGCCTCAGGGCGGAGTAACTAAACCTGTGGCTGCTGCAGCGGTAAGAGTTGAGATATCCCCATGACATTGGACGCTAACGGCGGAGTTAATTGCTGATATGAGATGGTCACGCTCCGCACCCATAGCCTCTGCCGCCTCCACACACTGCGCAGCTACCAATGTTGCGGCTGAAGCCACAGCCATGTCCGTCTTTGCCTTCTGTTCATCCTTACCTGATGCGGCTGCCGTGGCTGCTGCAATGGCCGCCACCGCCGCAGCAACTCCGGCAACCGAAACAGCAGCGTGTAGCTGAGCGTTGTGGGCTCTATTCTCTTCCCTCTTTTTCTCCCTCCTCTCCTTCAACCACCTCCCAACTGTCCTGCCGGCAGGTGTGTTGCTGCCGCCAGTGGCGCAACCGCTGCGGGCGGTTGCGAATAGGGGTTGCAGTGTGTTATTCGCACGTAAATACTGCATGCATGTTTGGAAATTAGCCATTATTACTAGGAGTTTACTTGCCAAAAAATTGGAATTCGGACTCATTTGCGAATGAATGGCTGGAAATCAAACACGTATACATCTTTTTTATATTTTTTATGTAACCCAAAACGAGCGTAATCGTAATCGTTTATCGAGAAATAGAGCAAAATTTGAAAGGAAATTTCAAAGCCCATTCCAAATAAGTACACAATCTATTGTATTTCATATTATCCTATTTATAAGTAGAAAACTATATCTATTTTTTAACTTTGAAGCCTAAACTAGAAATAAATTAATTGTAACGATTTTTTGGTTACTTTCGTAGTTTTTAAAACTTAATAACTTCTTTAAGATTAGAAAAAATGGAGAGTAGAGGTGTCAAATGTGTCGGGTTGAACGGGTGACGGGTGAAAAATATATAAATTCGTACGTGACACATTTAATAAACGGATAAAAAATCTCAATACGAACATGACCCGTTTAATAAATGAGTAACACTACACAATTCATTTAACCCGTTTAATTTTTAAAAATTTATATTAACAAATTTTAATATTCAATTTTTTTTATTGTCAATTGCACTTACGTCAAAAAAGAAGATTTTTTAGCTAAATCTCATAAAAATAAGACTTTAAGGCCTAAAAAAAAACAGTAAGAAGTCATTACTTTTTATAGCCAACTCAACCCTCCCTATCTCCCCTCATTTTTCAATGTGGGACAAATAAGACTTGAAAACTTAAAAAAAAATTAAGAGGTCATTGTTTTTTATAGACAACTCAACCATCTCCATCTCCCCTCATTTTTCAATGTAAGACAAATAAAACTTGAAGGTTTAAAAAAAAAAAAGTACTAGGTTATTATTTTTTATAGGCAACTCAACTCTCCTCATCTCCCCTTATTTTTCAATGTGGGACAAATAAGACTTGTCTTTGTCTTTGAGGTGTTCCTCATCTCTTCTCTTTTGTCTTTGAACTACTATTTTACTTTCTTTTTTTTTATTGATTTCTTTACTTCTTTTTTTCTTACTAATTTTTTAAATAATTATTAATTTATTATTATATTAATTTTATTTAAACAGGTAAACGTGTGATAAACGGTTTGATAGGTCTCATCCGAACATGACCCGTTTATTAAATGTGTTTGGCGTGTCAACCCGTTTATCATTTAAATCCGTTTAATTCGTGTCAATTAATCATGTCGTGTCAAATTTTGACAACTCTAATGGAGAGGATATTAACGAAGATTTAAGTAAATTAATTTAAACTCTGTGACCGTAATAAATAAATAAATAAAACACAACCCTGTGAGTGCTACCGTACGTAGTGGCATGGGTGATACTATGGACGTTGAGTAAGGTAAGGCAGATAAGGAAAAAGTTATCAGAAACGGAAAAGACAACTCGCAAAAACCAGTACCAGCAGTTTCCTTCCTAAAATAACTAAACTACAAGAAGAAAAAAAATTACAGAAGAATTGTTTGCTTCCTCAAGCACTCCACCTGTCTTTTCACAAACAATGCAAATTGCAGATGAAAATGTTCCCAATGTCGTAGTTAATCAATTTAAAATTATAATTACATCAAATGCCCTTCTAATACAAATAAGTGATATGGTGCACCGTGCACACAACACTCATCTTACACACAACGTTATTCCACAAACTCTTTCTTCGTCTCTGCCCTTGCCCGTCTTCCTTTCTCCTAAACCCTAACACTTAATTATTAAAAACTTAACTTAGTATCAAATCAATGACCTAAGGTGAAACCTCATCATAAAAATATACCTAAAACATCCAGAAAGAAGCCATATGCTTCTGGTCACTCACGCTATGAATAGTAGGTTGGCATAATACTAATGGCAACATGACCTACGATTTTTCCTAGGTGACCCCATGAAAATGATTGATCTCTATGTTTTGCTTAGTTTGACATCTGTGTCTAGTATTATAATTATTTGATTTATTTTATTATATTTATGAAAAATTATTATAAATAATTTTAGGTAACTTTAAAATAATTTTTGGGTTTCATCCGGAAAAAAATGAAATTTTCATATAATATAACATTTTTTTGCTACAAGGTTTCAAAGTTTGTGGAGATTATTCTCTCAAATTCAAGGACTTATCACCATAGTTTCACAGAACAAGTTTCAAAAATGACAAGGGTTTAAAAAAAAAATTGAACTTAAAACATCTTTTAACTACTGTACCACCATAAAAGATATATATAGGATAAAATATCACCGCAACTAAGTGTGGTTGTGGTTGAGGAGACGCCGAAAGCATTCTTGTTATTGTCAAAGTAAGAAAAGTTCAAAAGCATTCTCTGTTTTTTTTTGACTTTCTGCAATACGAAGACTCCAAACCTAGTTGCGGGATCTAAGAAGACGCCAAAGCATATCCCCAAGTAATTTTGCTTCACAGAGAGAGAGAGAGAGAGAGAGAGAGAGAGAGAAGAGTAACCTTGACAACGTCGTCGAATTCCCGAGAAGGGGAAACTGGTGGGCTATTATCTGTTGTTTCCTCTGTTAAGAAACCGTTCAAAGCTCCGCTGCTGTGAGACAGCCTCCCTGATGTTAGTGGAGATATTTCCTGTTCATTCCGCATCCAAAACACACACAAACATACTCCATTTTAATCCAAATAATCAAAAGTAAAATCATTATTCACACACACATATATATAGAGAGAAAGAGAGGGAGGGAGGGAGCATTAGCGCAAGTGTGGACATGGGAAGGGGTAGAAGTCGTAGAACTCACGGATTGAGACATGATGCGTTCAAGTACCAGTTGAGAAGTAGCAGAAGAAGCGAAAGAGAATGTGTTCCCGGAAAGCATGGCAGACTCCTCAGCCTCGCCGGCTATGTCGTCTTCTGGGATAGGAGTGGTTGCAGATTCAGTAGCAACACCAACACCCCTGGGAAGTAAGGAACGAGGAGTTGGAGGAGCAACAAGTGCCTTGGAGACTTTAAGAGCTGAGGCGCTCCAAGACCTTGACAAGAACTCCATGGGCTCTATTGGGCTCTCCGGCAACTGAACTCCAGAGACAGAGATCTTTTTCGGCCATGTACTCATCTCCATTTGTCGCTGCTCCAAAGAGAGTGACGGTGATTTGAAGAGATCTACTGGGCTTTGGCGAACTTAGGGTGGAAGAATTAGGACTTTGTTTGTAAGAACTATGTCGGTTGAGTTGAGCCTCTCGGTCTTTATGGGTCACAGCTTGTGATTTGGTCAACAGTTCTTGTTTGACTTTTCTCAATCTCCACACTTTGCCACGTGATTTTTCTTTTCTTTTTTTTTTTAATAATTTGATACCGAATTAATTTAATGATATGATGGCTCAATTGTTCCATTTTATTCTTATAACCGTAATTGTTGGAATTTTTTATTAGAATTTTATTATTTGACACATCATTAAATTAATAAATTAAGTCAATTTTTTTTAGGTTCAACGGTCAGAGTTGTCTGGGTCAACGTACGTGCACCTTAATTAGTTTTATCTCTGATCTGGTCAAAAGTAAATCATCCATATCCGAATTAAAAAATTCACGAGATAAATCACTCATAACTTAACTCCAAGGAGTTACAAAAATTTTTTAAGTCTTAACAGCATTACTCTATCTTTTTGCCTTTTATTTTTTAAAAGAAAATGACTCTCCTAAAATTCCATTTCTAGTGAATTTTAATCATTCAAGCTCTCTTTTTTTTTTTTTGGGAGTAATCATTAATCCTTTGGTTCAATTTAATTCAGTTCAAAAAAAAAAGTTGAATTTAATCTCCCTAATATTTCTTACATAAGTAGAAATTCTCAATACTTCGATTAAATATGTATGAAAAATCGCAACTTGGTTGAACCAATACAACCCAAATGATACTGGATCCCATTAATGTGAACTAATATTTAAGAAGAGAATTGAAATAAAAACTGTATTCAAAAGATCAAAATCCCACTAAAAGGAGTAAAATTTGTAGTATTAGGATGATTAACTGCCAAATGATAATAATTAAAAAAATGATTGAACAGTTCAGGCATTTGATGCAGCTGAGCTACTTTCTTATGTTTTGCTTAATTAACTACATTACATATGACTTTTAAGAGAGGTGGTCCACTAGGGTATTGATCAAATTTCTTACCCAAAATTCAGATGTTCGAATTTTGAAATCTACATTAGAGTTTAGTGATTGATCGTAATACTAACTTAATTAGATTCGTTTTCAAGAGGAATAACAGACGGGATTATAAACCTCATAATCCCACCGGTGAATGCCTATCAGAATGGTGTCTAGCTACCCTCCTTTGTCCCACCCTTTTTTTTTTAGCCAAAAAAAAAAAACCTACATTACATTTGAAAATGAGAGAGAGAGAGAGAGAGCAGTTTTGGATTGTTTGGTTGCCCTCTGCCTCGTTAATCTTTGTGGTATTGGCAACATCACAACCCGACCAACTTTTGGAGACCCATAGTCCAGACAAATTCACAGTAGGCTCTCTTATGGGGCCTGTTCTGGTCCGGAGCCCATCTCCATCAGAAGCGTGCCTGGCTACGTCATCATCTCTCATCGTCTCCTCTGTGACTCCCTTCTTCCAGAGAAGGCAGGGACCCCCCCCCCCCCCCCCCCCC